GAAATGTGAAGAATAGAAGAGTCATCGTATATCTAATAAGATAACAAGAAGTAGAGAATGGTGAAAATGCAACAGTTACGTCTGTCCAATCACAGGACTCTATTCTTTGGACATGGAATAAGTCTAAGCACATGTCCAGACAAAGCACAAGTAAAGACAGAATATTCCACAAGGGTAAATATAAGATGTTTCCACTGGGTTGCAAGGTACAATGTTAGAAAAAGTGTATTGTGCTCTGGGTGATGGGGGTAGAGGAATGTGCAATGTGGATTAAAAAAATTTTTTATAACTTGTGTTGTGACTGCTCAAAGCCTGACAGGTCCACTCTAGATTTGGGAAGACAGAAGAATATCCATGGAACCGTGGGGAGCTTCAAATGCCTTTATCCATGGGTGGGTGTGCTGGGCACAATGCTAGCTGTGTGTCCCCCTGCATGTCTCATTGCACGTCGCCTGTCCCCTTATGTGGGACCCAGTCGGGAGTCCCTACCTCCCTAAATACTAGAGACAAACAAAGCCAGAAGAGAGTCAAAATAGACTCTCTTCTGCGTATGGGAGTCCACTCAATGTTATGGGAACTGTTACTCGGACCCAGTCTCAAGGCTGTGAGAACACTACTTATCAGGCCTATTTTCAAGGTTATGGGAAACTGCTTCCCTTAGTTGCCCAGATACTTGGGTGAGAAGCCAGATAGCTCCTGTTTACACTACCTAACTACTTAGCCTTTTTCCACCCCTATTTTATTCTTTCCTTATACAAGCTACATTCAGCAGTGTGGAAAAATTCCTTTAACAAAAGCACATACTCTGAGCACCCACTGTGAAACCCTCTCCTGGGCAGTGGGAGTGATAAGGAAACGAGGCCTGATCCATGGGGAATCAGATATCAGGGGCTAAGAAGGGTTGATGTCTACTGCAGAGCTCCTTCTGCTGTCTCCCTCCCTCACAATTCCATAGCACTGTGAGTCAGACATGACAGTGACTGAAAGCTAAATAAAGGTATTTTAACCTTCTCTCACCCCTGGTTTGATTTCATAATGAAACAAAATGCACCCTCCTCCTTCTCATAGCCATAGAATCCCTTTTGCCATAGTCTTTTGGCAGAAATACCTCATTGGAACATCTTTGGCTCCCTGGGGTGTTTGTAAGGATCAGTGTGGATGATTTCTTATGTTTTACAATTGTTGTGAAAAAAATTCTCTGCTCACAGCTCAAGGAAGAGTGCATCTGTGTGCAGAGTGAGGGCCAAATAATCAGGCATGGAGCACATTGGATCTGCAGCCGTAGACCCTTGAATGGCAGAGAGATCTGCTGAGTGATCAGGATAGGGCAGCAGGCACAATGATTAAATGGAAACTGCTGAAAATGAAAGAAAACATGACAAAAGGAAAAAGCACTGGCATACTACACTCTAGAAAAAATGAGTTAAATAATCTACTTAAGTCCTTTGGCATTTGAGTGAAGCCCAATTGAAAATCCAAATAAGTCAGCTCAAAAATATTACTGGATTACATCTTACCTTCGAGGTGGTCAAATGTAACTTGTTCTTTTTCCATAGAAATCTTGCCTTAGACTCCACTATAGAGAGGCTTACTTTTTTCTGATTTGCTTAGAGATGGTCTTAGTTTCTACCTGTTGTCTGAACTCTTAATTCTTTCAGTGTTTATTTAGAACTTTTTAAAGCCAATTACTACTACTACTACTACTACTATTGGCATCAAAGTTAGCCAGGACAGGCTTGGTAGACTTCTGCAGGAGGTAGAAGTGTCATGCTAGGATGTGTCTCTCAGAGTGCCCCTCAGGACTAAAGGACTTTTCTCCCAGCTGCCAAAAGGGCTTCTGGCAGGAAGCCCCAGCTGTTAACTCTCATCACAATTGCTTCAGGTGAAGAGTGTCATCTCAATGATGACCACACCCTCTTCCCAGCAAACCCACATCCAACAACTGGTTTATGTGGAGGAACAAAGGTCTGGCCCCCTTCACCAGCTTCAGAGTTCCCTGTGTTGAGGCTGCCTCACAGGCCAGCTTCTCCTTCTGCTCAGTCCTCTTCCTCTTTCTCCTCACAGAGCTAGTGATCCCAAGAGCACTTCCTAACAAACTCCTGCTCACTAACATCCATCTCAGTAGGCCACAGTCTCTGGCATGTGCCATTTTGTGCTTTCACTTGCTACATTGGACTTGTCCAGTAGTATATGAGTCACAAATACTGTGTTCTCACTATGGTTAGATCAGAGAATACACAGAGATAACCTATCTTAATTTTTCCCAAACTTATCTAGATATATCACGTCATAGACAATCTGATACTCAGATGCTTCTTCAAAGGAGTTGCTACTCAACGGTGGGCAGTACCGTGAATTAGACAGCCTTTGTCAACTTCTTCTGGGTCTGCCTGAGCTACAGAGGGTGGCCCCATCCAATGTCAAGCCCCTTCCCAGACAGCCCTGGTGACTGGGTGAGGTGTGGGTGTAAAGCTCCAGCCACTTTGGTCCCTCCTCTCCATCCCCCACTCACCACCACCAAACTTCTATCTCTTCATCTATAAAAATCTTTCTCTATAAAATTCATTCATTTATCAAACATTTATCAAATCATTATTATGTGTTAGGCTCCATTCAAGGCACAGGGGATACAGCATTGAACGAGACAAAGTCCCTGAACTTACTCAGTTTACATCAGTAGTCTTTAAAACTCCTTACTGATCACACTAGGGCTCCTCTTTCTTGGACATGCCACAAAATTTGTCTTTGTGGTCACATCACCCTTAGCCAGGCTAGAAACATGAAACTCACATCTGACTTGTTACTCTCCTTCTACATTCAGTCACTTATAAAAGTCCTGCTTTTAAAAATATCCTTAAAACTCCACATATTCACTCTGTTATCCACTCAATGCTGTGGCTTAGAACTCTCATCCTAGGTCACTAGAACTGAGGTAATCAACTGTAACTAGTTGCTCTGCCTCTGGTCCCGCTTTCCCAAAATCCATCTACAATGGATCATTCATGTTTTATTTAAAACAAGAATCTAATCATGTCCATTCCCTGCTCATAACCCTTCAAAAGCCCAAGCTATTTGATAGGGCCCAAAGCCCTCTATGATCTGTACCTTACATCTCTTGTCTTATTGCTTTGCAGAGTCCTTATTTCATTTTTTAAAGTAATCTCTGTGTATGTCCCTAACTCAACATAAAGTTCTTTTGTGACTGGTTTTTATATCTTTGTAGCCTCAATGCCTAACACAGTACCTGAAATATACTATCCCCTTAATAAATTTTGAACTGAATTGGGTTTCTGCTATTGTTTGCATTTATATGTATATTTAATCTTAAGATTTCATGTGCCTGTAATTTGATTCTTCATCCTAATAGTGCTGTTTGGTGGGGGCAGGGGGATGTAGTCTTTAGAGATATTTACAAATATTTCAGTTCTCTTCTGAAAACATTGTAGAATTCTACTTCCCTTTTCAAGTTACAAATAGTCATGTGACTTGTCCTGGTCAATGAAATATAAACAGAAATAGTATGCATCATTTCCAGGTGAAAGCATTTAAGTAGCCAGTACAAAATACTACTGCTATCTTCTCCCCTCACTACAGGGGAAACAGGAAAACATGGAGCCTTCCTTGGCCTGGATCCTTAAGTGACAAGGATGAGCAGGACCTCCTGCTGACGTGTGCTTGATATGTAGCACAAGGATGGTAGCACAAACGCTACCATCCACTGAGATCTACTGAGACGTGGGGGTTGTTTACTGCGGTCACACAGCCTTGCCAATCCTGACCGCTCTGTTCCCTGAGGACAGGAGCTGTGCCACTTATCTGTGTGTTTCCGTACTGCATATTCGGAAAAAAACTAGAATAAAAACATTATATTTAAAATTTTATTTCTATAATTCATAATGTCCAATTTCAAGTATTCTTCTCATTTGTTCTACCCCATTACTAAAGCATAATTTCTGCTTCATTTTAGCACAATCATGATTTCCAAAATATACAAATTAAAATTTCTAACCAGTCCCTAATCCATTGTTGATCACTCATGTAACGTTTCTGTAGAATGAAATGTCTGCCCTCTGACTAAAAAATCCTATAGCACAGCTACAGGCAGAGCTCTGCAGGGAACGAGAGAGGAGGGAGGTGGCAGGCACTCACATACAGCTCTGGGCAGCACATGGAAGGGGTTGCAATAATCAGCTTCCCGGGGCATGTGCAGCACAGGTCTCCCTGTGTCCTCTGCCCCAGCAGGTGGCACAATGACATGACAATAAATGTATTGAAATACTCCTCCATTTGCCTTGATGTGCCTATAAAAATCTCCATTCTGGGACATATAATTCTGTGACAAAAAAATCCTCTTTCTATGATCCTTTTTAAACTCCACTGTTAAACAATGAAATATTTAGAAAGGAAAGAGTTCCAACACAAGGCTTCTTCCTGAAAGAAATGCCTAATATTATTTTCCCTCTGTAATCCTTACAGTAAGTTGAAAGGTAATATTTTTCCTCATGTAAATGTATTATAGGTTACTCCAATCTTATTTCATGTACATCATGAAATAAGCAAAGAGCTAGCTACTATATGCACTTTTCAGCAAAGAGCTAGCTACTATATGCACTTTTCAGAGTTAAAAAAGAAAACAAGCCCATAGCTTTACTATTTTCTCACTCCTGTTAATGGCCCTAACACCATGCCTGTTACCTCCTCTGAAAACCACACTTCCAAACATACTCTTTATAGGACAAGTCCAACTCATCGCCACCCATCTGTTTAATATCCTGGATGTTAATTAACCTCACAGTCACTGTCTCTATGATTATATATTTTCTATAATCAATTTCAAACTTTCAGCTATGGGTATCACAAAATCTTGACTTTCAAGTTTTCATTTTTATAAATGCTGTGTTTTATTTTGGAAGTAATATGAGTATGTCTACATTTACTATAACTACAATATAATTTCCTAAAGATACTTTCTGAAAAGACAAACAAACCTTCGAGTTAAAAATAAGCTTGTAGTAGGCTTTTTATAATTTTTTTAAACAAAATCATCCTAAATCCTAAATAATACATGCTATGTTTTTTAATGCAAACAAAGTCTTTATGAACCAGAGGAAATATTTCTCCAGTGTAGAGATATGCATGGGTTCTCAGGTCTGTGCTAGGTGTGGAGAAAGATACCCTGCACTATACTGCTCAAACCATGCCCAGCGGGAGGGAAAATCCTTCCTGTTCTCAAAATGGGACACTGGGTGGGGTGTGGCTTTGTACATTTTATAATCTAACAACATAACACCAAGAAGAAACCACACAGGAAAAAAGATTAATAGATCCAAATACATAAATACTTAAAACTTCAGTATTAAACATTACTAAATTAAAGACACATAAAAATGAGAATATTTACAACATACTATTCTAACAGATCTTTTACAAATCAGCTATATTACACAAACACATACAAAAAAAATGACCAGTAAACCCATGGGAAAAAACAGGGGTTAATTTCCACCAATAGCATTTTTCACTCAGTATGTAAGCAAAGATTTAAGAGCAACTAATTGTATTGGGGAGAGTATAGAGCATACTTCTGGCAGTAATAAATATTGGTGCCACATTTTGGGAAGTTATTTGACTACATATATCAAAACACTTATAAATAGATTTTGCATTAGAACCACCAGTTCTAAGTCCAGGTGTTTGTCCTTATCCAGTCGTCAGACAGTGTCCATAAGAGTTTTTATCACAGGGATTTTGAAACACATACAGATAGAAAAATATCTGGAGGGGTATATGCCCAAATATACTTCTATTATCAACAGATATAAAATGTGAAAACCACTAGTTTCTTTCTTTTTATTATTCATCACTGTGTCTGAAGTTTTTATAACAAATACCTATTACTTTTGTAGCAATCCATCTTGCATATATTTTATTTCTCAGAAAAATAAAGAACTGAAAGCACGGGGATGGTGTTAGGAATTTGGGATTCCTATCCTGAGTTAACCACAAGTCATATTTTGTTTTAATTGATTCAACAGGGCACATTAAATGTGAAAAACAAAATGATCTACTCCCTTATACAACAAAACCATTGTTTCTTTTCTGGTTGCTTCCACCTAAATAGAAAACTGTTTAAGGAAGATATTTACAATCCCAGTCATATTCTAGATAATTTTGGGCATGAAGTCACAATTCTCCATAGCAGCACAATGACTTTTTTTGGAAATGAGAACAGATACCTGAACAAAATGTCTTTATTTGGAAATGCAGGATAGAGCAGGCAGTGGAAGAGATATCGAGTTCAATTTTCCTGAAAACCCCCAAAGTAAGAAAACATCCCTTTCCCTTACCTTAGTTCCTGGTGACACTCTGGCAAAGCACAGCAAGTGAGGAATACTGAGTCTAGACACAAAACCTGAACACAATTGTGGATTATCAGGTTGCCAGACTGGCAGGTGTAGGGCTGAAATGGCCGCAGGCCGTAGCAGTAAAATGACCACAAAAGTCCCACATTTACCATCAGTTAGGCAGTGCTTTCAACCCAGGATGAGGTAATGGCAAAATTTCAAATAGTCCAAACATTTCATGTTAGTGTCAACAGCACCAGTACAATTTCAGCTGGCAGAAGAGGAGGAAACCAATGGTATCTGCATTATTTACTCCAGAGAAACTAGCTGTGAACCATCTGTCCTCAGCCATTACCACTCTCACAAAATTTGGTCCTTTCTATACCTCACCCTTGCCCTTTTTCTGTGAGTCCCCGCCCCCTAGTCTTGGCCTAAGAACCTCAATGTTTCCCTCAATACACAGATATGGAAAGTTATTTCAACAGAGCAATTGGTACTACAAAAGATCTCTTAAAGCTGCAAAGTATTATTATTAGTTGTCCAGCTGCAAAAATTATTCATTCCTCCAACCTTCATTCTAAGACTGAATGCAGTGTTTCCTATGGAGGGGGACTGCAGCATGCAGCAGGGACCAATGTTCCTGCACTCTGGAGTCTACAAACTGGTTCAAGGCTATAAAAATAGGATTAAAAATTGACTGAATTTGCAATAGGAAATAGGTCCCATATAGCAAAGACAAGTTTCCAAAAACATTTACAAACTACATTTGTGTATGGTTAATTTTTAGAAACATTGTGCTTTCAGGAAATTAACTGTCCTACTCTGAAAAACCGGAGGAACAGTATTAGTAAATAAATCAGACCAAAGCTGATCCCATAGTGATTTCAGTAGTATATTTGATATATATGAATTGTAAAGGAGAACATAAAAATGAGACCCCCCTCAAGAGAGAAAAACTCAAGAGCTTTTCATTAAAAATAAAAGTAAACCATCTATGCAAAGGTAGTTCAAATTTTATTTAATTTGTTTAAAAGAGATTAAAATATTTTTTCTTTTGCTCACATTTGTATACTGAATTAAGAAAGTAGAGATTAAAAGCTAAAAAGAGACCAAAGCTTTCCTAATCTGATCTGAGAATTAGTCGGCTGTTTAGATGGACATGCATGCAGCACCTACAGCTCTCACTAACCTGAAAGCATCAAAGAATTCTCTCATATTCTATCTTACTAACATTGCTGTAATTATACTTCCAATAAGAGGCAAGAAACAATAAGAAAAATACTGTAACATTTCATTGGCAATAGAGATTAAATATGAGTTCAGTAATCAGAACCTGCAAACATGCTTAAATAAAGACAGGGAGAAACCTGTCATAGCGCAGCTGCTCAGCTAGGTGTGTGGGTAGTCATTTGAAGTCATGGTGAACAAAATTGCATTTAAAGAAAGTATCTCATAGGTGTTTTCAAGGTCAGCTGACAAAGGCCAGATGTTAAGTAAACATTTCTTATATATCCTGGAAGAAAAAAAAACAAAATATAATTACTACAAGCAGCAAAACACAATTCAAATCTTTTGTAAACCACTATGAAGTTCCTTCAAAAAACACTCTTATTATGTCAGGTTTAAGTGACTGTTAATAATTTAGTCCCAATGAAATGATTTAATTTTTAAGTCCCCTTGCATTAGATGCACAAATCTAATTGTCTTTGTCAACAATGAATGGCTTGTTGAGGGATGGCTCAACAGCTGTGTTCTTAGAGATAGGCTGACGTGGGTTACAAATAATAATGTTCACAAGTATTGCCACCCATCTCCAAAGTTACAGCAAGGATGGGACTAACACAGTGTGGAGCAGAGCAATTTAAATGGAAATATATAAAGTACAGTTGTATTGTATGAGACAGCAGGAAGGTGACTTCTAAGGGACTCTGAGAAAGGGAGATAAATTAAATGAGTCCCCTCCCTGTCGACTATGTGCAAAGGTCAAGAAATCTTCACCGTAGAAAGGTGGACCACATTTACTTGGGATTCAGTCTAGTGCTATTCTAACACTCCAGGAAACTAAAATCCCAGGTTGTCCCATAGGTTGTGGCAAATACTTAACTGCCATTAAAGACAAAGAATTTAGAGTTTCCATATTATCCCAAAGGGTCTCACCTACTGGTATCAGAAAAAGATCAGTTGAAGTGATTTTTTTAAATGTCCCACTTTAGGTGCAATTTGAAAACTAGTAGATGAATCTAGAGAAGCAAGACACATTTTTAAATATAAAAGGAAGTTTGAATTATCAAATAATACGTATATATTAAGTAGTATGAGAAGAATATGATTTAAATTTTGAAAGGTTTAAAAATAAAGCTTTATCTAATTTGGCTACCAATATACATTTAGCAGAAGCCCACTGCTTAAGTGTCTGTGTTATGTTTCAAAAAACTACTTTATTTTTCCTTGGCTTTCATCATAGTCTTATCATATTTTCTTCCTTTCCTATCATCTTTCACTTTTTACTGCTTCCATTATTTCTTCCAGCTCTCCTCTTTCATTCCTCAGGGGATCTCAGTCATCAACCATAATTGAAATATTTTTTATATATTCTGTATACTAACCTTTTGTCAACTTTTTATTTATAAAACATATTCATTGATGGGCCCTATTTATTCCCATAATTTGAATATATTAAATAAATTCTTTTGTATGTATTAGGTAGATAATTTTATAATCTGTGGTTTATTTATTTATTTTCTTTTTTTTTTACTTTTAACAATGTTAATTTTTTTTAAATTAATTTATTTTTTTAAATTGATTATGCTGTTACAGTTGTTCTATTCCCCCCTTCATTCCCCTCCACCCTGCCCCCCCAACCCCACCATTACCCCCCTTTAGTTTATGTCCATGTGTCTCAAGTCCTTTAGGTTCTATATTTCCCATGCTATTCTTGCCCCCCCCATCTATTTTCTATCTACTGTCTATGCTACTTATTTTCTGTACCTTCTCCCCCCATCTCCTCCTCCCACTCCCCTGTTGCTAACCCTCCTTGAGATCTTCATTTCTATATTTCCACTCCTGATCTAGCTGTTCTTTTAGTTTGCTTTTGTTTTAGGTGTGGTTGTTAATAACTGTGAGCTTGTTGTTCTTTCACTGTTCATGTTTCTTTAACTTCTTTTTCTTAGATAAGTCCCTTTAACATTTCATATAATAAGGGCTTGGTGATGATGAACTCCTTGAATTTGGTCTTATCTGAGAAGCACCTTATCTGTCCTTCCATTCTAAATGAAAGTTTTGCTGGATAGAGCAATCTTGGTTGTAGGTCTTTAGATTTCATGATTTGGAATATTTCTTTCCAGCCCCTTCTTGCCTGTAAGGTCTCTTTTGAGAAATCTGCTGACAGTCTGATGGGGACTCCTTTGTAGGTGACTGTCCCCTTAGCTCTTGCTGCTTCTAGGATTCTCTCCTTCATTTTAATTTTGGCTAATGTAATTATGATATGCCTTGGTGTGTTTCTTCTTGAGTCCAACTTTTTTGGTACTCTCTGGGCTTCTTGGATTTCTTGGAAGTCTATTTCCTTTGCCAGATTGGGGAAATTTTCTTTTATTATTTGTTCAAATAGTTTTTCCACTGGTGGTTGTGTCTTTCCCCCTTCTGGTATCTCTATAATTCGGATATTGGAGCGTTTAAAGATGTCCTGGAGGTTCCTAAGACTCTCCTCATTTCTTTGAATTCTTGCTCCTTGACTCTTTTCTGTTTGGCCATTATTTGGTTTCTTCTAGTCCACTCCATTGATTTGAGTCCCAGTTTCCTTTTCATCTCTATGGGTTTCCTGTGGAATTCCATTCATTTCCCTTAATTTAGCCTTCATATGTTTCTCTAATTTGTGGCTATAATCAACCAGATCTGTGAGGAAGCTGATGACCAGTGTTTTAAACTGTGTGTCTGAGAGTTTTGCTATTTCTTCGTCGCTTAGATTTATCTCTGGGGCTTTGAGGTCTCCCTGCGACATTTTTGGTCTGTTCTAGCCCTTTAAATGTGAGAAACTGCGCCTTGGACTCCCAGGTAGCTGGGTTGTGACGCTGTATGTGGGGGCGTGGTCAGAGCGGAGAAATGGCGGCACCCTCTATCGCCGCTGCAGCCGGTCCAACCGCCCACTCCCTCGCTCACGCGCAATTAGGCAACCGCAGTCAACTCGCTGCACCGCCTCCCCACTGTCTCCTCTGCAGTCGCTCACCCGGTAGGTTGCTCCGTCGCTCACAAGGTCCAATCCTGGGTTTGGAACCCGTGCGTCTGGATTCGCGCGTCTGGATTCCGCGCCAGGGTCCGACCGAGCCCTCCCTTGCAGCTCCTCACCAGACGCCGGTTTCGCCCCTTACTGGTCGGGCTGAAGAATTTGTTGTTAGTGGACTTCCGAAAAGTTCAGTTTTCCGTGTTCTGGTTGTGTTTTCTGATGCTAATATTTAGTTGTCCCTAAACTTGGTTGTGTGAGGAGGCACGGCACATTCACCTAAACCTCCATCTTGGCGGAAGTCTATTTAATTTATTTTCCATGATTTGTTCACAGCAGCTTTATATAAAATAGTCAACGATGGAAAAAAAATGTCCTCAAATGGGTGAAAGGTTAAACAAACTGTGGTATATACATATCATGGACTACTACTCAACAATAAAAAAATAATAAAAACTTTGATGGGTCTCCAGGGAATTATTTTAAGTGAATAAAAGCTAATCCAAAAATGTGTATACTATGTGATTCCATTTATTTTATTTTATTTTTAAATTTATTTATTGATTTTTAGAGAGAAGGAGGAAGGGAGAGTTAGAGAGTCAAAGAGAGAGAAAGAGAAAGAGAGAAATATTCAATTTGTTGTTTCACTTATTTATGCACTCGTTGGTTGCTTCTTGTACGTGCCCTGACCAGAGACTGAACCCACAAGCTACCAGAGCTATGTGATTCCATTTATGTTAATATTTTTGAGATGATAAATTTTAGAAATGGAGACAGCCTTATAGTTCCCAGTGGTTATGTATGGGGACTCATTCTAAGAAGGACATAAATGTGATTATAAAATGGTAACATTATAAAGATCATTGTGTTAATGGACTTGTTTAGAATGTTCTGTACTCTGGTGGATACATGGACCTACATATGTGATAAAACTTCATAGAACTAAATACACACACACAAAGACACACACACAGTGAAGTGAAACTGGGAAAATCTAAGTAAGATTAATGGATATTGTCAGTGTCAATATTCTGTATTATTGGTGATTTATACATTTTTTCAATCCTTATATCTGATTTAAATAGAACACTTTTAAAAATGTATTTTGAGAGAGAGGAAGGGAGGGAGGGAGAGAGAGACAGACAGACAGACAGAAATACTGATTTCTTGTTCTGCTTATTTATGCACTCATTGGTTGATTCTTCTACATACCTTGACCAGGGATTGTACCTGTGACTTCATCGTATGGGGATGATACTCTAACCAACTGAGCTACCTAGCCAAGGCCAAGAAAACATTTGTGATGTATTTTTATTATAGGTTTTTGCTGATTTTGGTTAAAAAATTTTTATTTGTGTCCATACATTCTTTTTTATTATATTTGATTGATTATGCTATTAGAGTTGTCTAAATTTTCCCCCCTTTGCATTTCTCCTCCCGGCACCCCCTACTTCTTCAGGTCATCCCCCTACCATTGTTCATGTCCATAGGTTATGCATATAAATTATTTGGCTATTCCATTTCATATATTGCATTTTACATTCCCATGGCTATTCTGTAACTACCTATTTGTACTAAAGAAATTTTCTTTCTGTTCCTAGTTTGCTAGAAGATTTTTTTTTACCACAAATGTGTATGTTGAAATTTATCAAATGATTTCTCTTAACTATTGAGATGATTATATGGTATTTGCCCTGTAATTTATGAGGTGAAGTTTTTGTTTGTTTTATTTTGTTTTTTATGTTGTTTATTTATTCATTTATGGTAAACCAAGCTTGCATTTTGGAATAAATTCCATTGAAATAGACATATTATGGCTTTTAAAAATTCGTTAGAGAATCTATCAAAATTTTGTGAATTTTTTTAGAATACATGTTTTTAAAAATATTTTATTTATTTATTTTTTGAGAGAGGGGAAGGGAAGAAGAAAGAGTGGGATAGAAATATCAATGTATGGTTGCCTCTTATGCGTCCTCTGCTGGGAACTGGCCTGCAACCCAGGCATGTGCCCTGACTGGGAATCGATACTCTGGTTCACAGGCCCATGCTCAATCCACTGAGCTATGCCAGCCAGGGCTGAATACATGTTTATGAGTGAGATTGGTCTATCATTTTTTTTTGTATAGTCTTTGCTGGATTTTGATTGAAAGTTCCATTTACCTGCTTAATCATTTTGGGAAATATTTTCTTCTTTTGATTTATCTGAAAAATCTTCCACGACATTTGAAATCATTTGTTCCTAGAACATTTATTAGAACTTTTCTGTAATATGTCTAGGCCTGGTTTTTATTTTATGG